GGGGCAGGGGATGGGGGGTTAAATCCTTAGACCTGATGTTAGTCCATTAAAAATCTTTTGTACGCTTTTAATTCATTTATCAACCAAAAACGTCTAAAATTTTTTTAATTTCTTAATTTGATGCTTGTACTATTTTTCCCCAGCCATCTCAGTGACAGTGATTTCACCCATTGAACTGATCAGAACGAAGTTGCAGTCAAGAAGTGGTTACAGATATAGTGGTATGAAGATAATAAAATAATAATGATAAAAAATGAGGGGATTGGCAGTATATTCCACAGAGTGGCTCTTCTTCTCCTGGATTCCAATTGGAATTTAGAAGTTTAGTTTTACCGAGGGAGGACAACTGAAGAACCAAGAAAACCCTTGAAGCACAGGAGAAAACCAACAAGTAATTCTACTCACATATGACATCGCGCCTGGTGGGACTCGAACCTGAGTGGCATTGATGAGAGGCAAGCGCTCTCACTGCTACAACACCAGTGCTTCCCTAAAGACAATTTTTGATTTTAGCCTGAAACTGTTTGGTTCATCATAAAGACCACTAGAAATCCAATCACAGGGGCTAGAGATTTAAAAGCTATGTAAATGGAGTTAAATCATGGGTTTCAGAGTTGAATTACACATAAATAAATATGGTGTGTTTGATGGGCCAAATCCATGCAGGTAAACTTACCGACACCTCAAACAGCCTACACATACTTACTCATAAGAAAGGCATGATTTTTTTACTAAATATTTATGGTAAACTATTTTCCACTTTTACAGAATTAGGCACTGTTATAAGAAATGCCATCCAACAAGGTGGCGTGCTATCATTATGGCAGGGACTTGGTCCAACCTTATTAAGAGACTTGCCTTTTTCAGGTAATAGGGGGACATCTTGGGTACTGTATGTTTCTGCTTCTGTTGCTTTTGTTTCTTTTGTTCTTGTTGTTGTCGTTGTTGTTATTGCTGCTGTTGTTGCTGTTTTTGCTACTGTTGTCGTTGTCGTCGTTGTTGCTGCTGTTGGCTTTGCTGTTGTTGTTATTGCTGCTGCTGTTGTTGTCGTTGCTGCTTTTGTCGTTGTTTTCGTTGTTGTTGCTGCTGTTGTTGTTGCTGCTGTTGGCTTTGCTATTGT